CCAGAGAAGGTGTGGCTGCCCCATCCCTGGAAGTGTTCAAGGCCAGGCTGGATGAGGCTTTGAGCAACCTGGTCTAGTGGAAGGTTTCCCTGCCCATGGCAGGGGCGTTGGAACTAGGTGATCTTTGAGGTCCCTTCCAACCCTAACCATTCTATGATTTTATGTATCTAAGGCATTTCTTAGAAATATGAACATGCATGTTATAAAACTAAATATTAGTAAATACTTCAAATATTAATTTTTAAAATAATGCTGTGCCCTAATTTTTCAACTGGCAGAAACAACTGGGCACTGAGAATATGGAACTTCCTGCAGTAGTTCAAGTTCACCTGCGGTGAATCAAGTAGCTGACAGAATTTGCAGCCTCAGGCCATCACTAATCAGGGGCGTTGTCTCATGGAGTGTGTTTTTTTTTGTGTTTTTCTTTTATTAGCACTTCAGAGTTATTTCTGAGTATTTTGATGAGGTCTCATTATACCCATCCAGAGGCTGGAGTAGAGGGAATAGAGACAATCTGGGGGAGACTTTTTGAAGCACGGTTTGGCTTGGTAGCAGGGAAACCAGCAGAAGGCCACTGCAAAGGAGTGCTTTGAAAAAATGAGCCAGGCAGGGCTCAGGAACTTAATCAGGCATGAATATGACATGCCATGATGTCTCCCCTGCAGTGCTTGTGTGTGACACATCTGCCATTATTTCTTGGTCTCCCATCAACCCATTTTTCCAGTCACTTGCCTCTCGCCTGTCCAGGCTGCAACTGAGTGTGAGTACAGAAGTGCTCCCCATGCGCAGAAGGGTCTTGCATGTGAAGCGGCGCAGTGTGGGATTTATGTCCTTGCTTCTGACTTGGCCAGGTACATCAGGTTTATCTGTATCTTATGTCAACCTAGGGGATGATTAATATCCATTTCAGAGTTGATATTCTAAAATAGAAAAGTATAATCTTTGTGTTGTTACAATATTATTTTCTTGCAGGCCTAACTCGGAGTGCTGCCCTGATTCTCTGAACCAGATTTATGTTGAGAAACACCGCCATACCTTCATACGCATCCCCCTGTTAGGGCTGTGCTTGGTTGCTGTAGGTGGAAGGGCTCTTGGCCCCTGCGTTACCAGCAGCATTATCCGCGCAGGCAGCGCAGCTGGGGCAAGGACTACATATTCCTGTGAGGCCCATGTGTGGTTTCCATAGAGTTGCCTTTTTTTTTTTTTTTTCCTTCTATCAGCAACCTGGAAAAGAAGATCCTGCTGGAGAAAAAGTTAACACTTCTGTGCTGGCTTAGCTCAGGCTTCCTAATAGCATTGTATTAGAGGAACTATTTCTACTTTAGCTGCTTGAAATATAATTTGATGATGATGGAAAGTATTTTCATAGCTTTGAACTTAGAAGCTCCCTGTTCTCCACAAAACTACAGGGTGTGAGCAGCCTCAGTACAAGCATGGCCATCCATGTGCAGCCTCCAGGACTTGTTTGCTCTCTGTTGAGACAAGCGCGTAGGTGGCAGCTGTTGTTTCTGGTTTTCAGGAAGCCACTGCCCATCCCTCTGTAACTACCTCAGTGATGAATGTCGTTTGTTTTCCTCAGGAGACTAAATAGCTATCATACATTCAGAGCTTTTTGGTCTGGATTACTGTTGCTCCATTAAAGTCTTGCATCACCAAGTTCAATTATTTACTTGAGGCTTTTGACAAATCTGTGTCTCTTACCGAATCCAGTCTTGGCCTTCTGTATGGGTGCTTCTCCCACTAATGTCCTGCAACTACTTTTTAGCTTGATCCTTTTATCATGGATTGCTGCCCGATAAAACAATGCTTTTCTCCTTCATTTCCCCCTTGAGACCTTCTTGTGCTGTATTGCCTACCCGGCACCAGCCAATTCGGTATGGCTGAGAAATAAGATGCGTGGGAACAGCTGCAATTTTAATTGTTTTGTAAATGCTCGAGTGACTGGTAACCATTACATTGTGTAGTCCCCAACCTATGCAATGACATACTGTAGCTTGTTGTAGTCTCCCTAGGTATCCGCCATTCCCTTCTATGTCTTACTGTGTAATTTTTGTTTTATTTTGGAGGAAATATTTTACAGGAGGAGCTGTGATTTATGAATTTACTTAGTGCCTAGCACAGTGGAACCAGTTTGTTTGGGCTACCACAGTTCAGCATCTGCCCTGTCTTGGGATGCTCTTTATCAGCAGGCAGCCTGTGAAGGCTCTCTTAAGCATACGGTAAGAAGGAAGTTCCCATGAGGGCTGCGCTGACTGGGCATGTGACAGTAGGAGGCAAATATTGAGACAGTGTCAGCGCATTGATGCTTCTCTCTTTGCAGTTGTGGTGAAAGGCTCAGGATTCAAAAGAAGTCAACAGTGGTCTTTGCAATGGGTTAACTTGTGTTGTAGACGTTGTCCCAGACCTGGTCTAGATTCAGTTCTTAGACTTCTAGTGTAGTGACTAAGATATTTTGCAAAGTGTAGAAAAGAAACAGAGAATAAGTAGATAATTATCAAGTATGTGATACAGAGCCAGGAAAGGGAAATCTTCATTGCACGGAGGAAATAGCGTGGGGTAGAACAGGATGGGGCTTGTTGGATATATTTGTGTGAGTCTTTGGCTTTGGTGGGCAGGTGTAAGGCAATGGAAATTGGTGAGGCGATCCTTGGAATAAAAAGGGAGAGACTGAGAGAGAAGGACCTTCTGTGCATTTGATCAAACTTTGCGAAGAGATTTTCAAAATTGTAAGGAAAACCTTATGGATAGCACCACATGCTGTGGATGCTAACAGTTCAAATACATTTCATGTAAAGCTGTACGGGGAAGTGCAAGGACTGAGGACCACAAGTGGAAAAGCTTAGAAAAGCTTATCGAGAAGAGAGGAAAACCATACAATCCCTTGGCAGCTTAGTAAAAACTTTACAGTTGTTTTCTTCCCTGGAGAATGACGTCCCATATCTCCTCAGTGCCTTACCTAGCAATTGGTATGACTTCAAAAGCCTCTGCATCTTCTTCTTCCTTCCTGCTGCAGCCATATATCCCCGTTCTGACAAAAGATACCTACAGTCTATTTCCTTCTTCCTGCTTTCCCTTACTCCTGTATCTCTGATTATTGATTTGTTCTTGAAATTATGTGAGAATGGGGGAATGATACTGAGGATTCAAACTCCTAAGCTTATCTACTGTGCTGGCAAACTAACCAAGTAACGTTACATTGACAAACTCTCGTTCTCCTCAGAAAGTTTGCAGTGCCCTTACACATCAGCTGCTTGTGGACTGTGTGGAGATACACCCCCTGACTAATTCTCATGTGCTACCTCTGCTGCTGTCTTACAGGGGCTCTTGAGACTGAACTGTTAGGAGACATAAGGGAATTCCTAGCGACTCCTTAGTCTTTCATCCACAAGCTCACAATGTGCTATTGATGCCCATCTGTAGCATCTGATGATAGTTCAGTGTCCTGTGTAAAACAGATTGTGCCATTAGGAAATGGGTCTTTGTTCAAACACACACATCATATGAACTGCCAAGACTTTGTTTGTTTTGGTGTCTATTTAAGAGAGGAGTGAATAGGTCATGGATACAGCTCTGTCTTTTCCACTTTCAATATTCCCCTGTGAATATTCTGCATATCTTTATGTCCATTATTACAGTTCTGTTTCCCTTATAAACATTTCTCTTCTCTTATCTCCTATCAGAACTTCAGTCATATTGTGTGTTAATACTTTGTTCAGACGGGCACCATGTTTACAGAGCAGGGCAGGAACAGTCTCTTTCCAGATGGCATTGGAATGACTGCATGTAACATTAGCGTGGTCCTCTCCTTGCACCACAGAACTGACATGTGCAGAGCAAAGAAGTTAAATAGTGCCTGATGAAGAGTCAAGAGAAAACCCAACTTGAAAAAGTAAGTTTCTAAGAATGAAAGAAGTCAAATTCACCCTGTGGTGTAAATCTGTAAGGTTTCAGTAAAATTATGCTTAAAATCAGCTTGAGCCAGGGACTGTAGCTGGCAGAGCAATGCTTAGGACCTTGTAAATCTCTACAAAAAGTGTAAAAACTAATTGTGCTGAAACAGTTCAGTGATAAGCAAATTTTGCCCTTTCAAAACCTCTTCACTAAGTTTCTTTCTGTAGAGACAATTAGAATTTGTTCTCATTTCCTATTTGTCATGACTAGCCACCTCTCTCTGTGCTCAGCTGTTGCTTTTTATTCTCCTCCTTTGTGTTTTGCTGTCCTGAAGCCAAATCTGAATGGATTTCAATGGCGCTCTTGTGCTTTTTGACTTGGTATCAGGCCGTCTGACAGCATAAGAAAATTATTTTCCAAATCCTAGCCATACAATTCATGAGTTCTTTAACAGAAGAAATAACAGTTCAGCTGAATAATGGATGCAAGGTGTGGTGTCTGGAAGTGTAAAACCTCTTAAACTTTCTCCTCTGGTTGCCTTTCTGTAGCCCCCATCAAAGCTCATTTTTTTCACTACAGTAAACATTTTGAGTATAGAGATGTAGGTGACAGCTGGAAGGGCTGAGGTTTTCAAGGCTGTGTTCATCTGATCTATTACATATTAGAATCGGGAAAGCTAGGGACAGTGCTGTTTCTTGAAGAGAGCAGAAAGGTCATCTGTGCTCCTTGTGAGATGACTGTATTTTTCTGCTGACTTGCAACCAGTAAGTTCTTTGGCAGCCTCACCCCTGGCAAAGCCCTTGTACCTGTCAGCTCCCTCCTTATCTTAGTGCGTCCCGCTTCTCAGGCAGAGCGGTGTGCATTCCCCAGGTCCATGCTGAGACTCAGAACCTGGTAAGGTGCCACCTTTCCCCAGGACTTAAAATCTGCTGTGGTAAAAATAAGACAATTTAAAATTCACTTCTTTCTTAGATTTGTCTTTTGTGGATGTTACGAATTTGTGTGTGTTGCCATCTGGGGGATAAGGACTTGTGACATCCTGGTTGACTCTTCTCTCTTTCTGTCTCTCTGTCTCTCTTTCTCTCTCTTCATTTCAGAGCACCTGCTGAGGTGTGCAGAAGAATGGCTGCGGCAGAGCCTCTGACTGCTTTCTCCCGATGGTACCTCTACGCCATTCACGGCTATTTCTGTGAGGTGATGTTCACAGCTGCCTGGGAGTTTGTGGTCAACTTTAACTGGAAGTTCCCAGGTGTTACCAGTGTGTGGGCACTCTTCATCTATGGCACCTCCATCCTCATTGTGGAGAAGATGTATCTGTATCTAAAAGACAAGTGTAACATTTTAGTGCGCTGCTTCATTTACACACTTTGGACATACCTCTGGGAGTTCACCACTGGCCTCATCCTACGCCAGTTCAATGCCTGCCCATGGGACTATTCCCAGTTTGATTTTGACTTCATGGGCCTGATCACCCTGGAGTATGCCATCCCATGGTTTTGTGCTTCTTTCATCATGGAGCAGCTGGTGATCAGAAACACACTGCGCTTACGATTTGATGAGACTGCTGAGCCAGGGGCCCCCACTGTCCCTGTTGCCTTGGCCAACGGCCATGTGAAGACTGATTGAGCAGTGACTCGGAACCACACTTAGCAATCTGAGAGAGCCCAGACCTCTACCACAGACTGTCAGCTCTGACTCTGAGGTACTGCTTCTTGCTGTATGATAAGATTCATAAACCCCATTTTTCTAATGGAGGTGTGCATGGGATATACCAGAAAAAAATGGAACCAATAGATTTTCTATGGATTTTACTCTTTGGGCTTCAAGGACCAACATCAGTTACTTGTTAGTTAGGTCGTTTCTGATTTTAACTTATTACAGATGAAAGCAGTCCTTTTGCTTACTCTTTTATGTGGAGAAAGAAGAAAAAGAAATGCTACCATGGAAATGCATACAAAAAGAAAAAATATCTAATTAGTGGATGGGCATGGACACACCAGCTGAGTTAGTGATTGGCTTACTCCATTAGGCAATATTCAGGTGCTTGCTTGCAACCAATACCTCCCGTGGGACCTGAGATGCTGCAGGAACAAGGAAAATCCATCTGCTGTTGAGAAGAACCTAAGACTGGCAGTCTGCTGGGGAGGTAGATGGTGTTCCCTTCATGAGGTCCCATTGGCCTCTCCCCAGGTTCTTTGTTGCACCATGAAATAATTCGGTGCTGGACATCTTGGTGAATTTATACAGATCTTGTACTTTTTGAAATCTCAGTCCTGATATTCAGTAGAAATTTTTTCTTTTTTTTTTTTTTAATAAAGCCCTTTTTTGCCGAGTGAATTTTACCATAATCTGTGCAATCTGAATCTTGGCAAAAGGCGCAAGAAATAGTGTAAGTCTTCCCATCTCCTCTGTCCCCTCAAAGCAGACCTTGCCTGAAGGGCTGCTGCAGATTCCAGCTCCCATCTCAGCTGTGCAGACCTTGTAGGGACTGTACAGAGTTTTCTGCCTTCCTTCCCCGGGATTCCTCTGTTTCTGGTGATGTTGATGACTTTCGCTGCAACCCATTGTTTTTGAAGGTCAAAACTTTCTTGTGGCTAATGTGGTATCAAGGATTTGGTCCTCTGGCACTGGCTCTGACCTTCCTTCAGCACTGGCAGGTCTTTGCTTAGTTCTGCCCAGTGTTGTCCTCAGTGTATCAAGAGGATTTGCTTATTCTTCCCAAATTCTGCTTTAAATAACTACAGCCATATTGTCATGACAATAATTGGAGGCAGCAAGAGATATGCCATGCTGCCTGGTACATTTATTTAAAAAAAAAAAAAGGCAAAAAATCCCTCCCTGAAGAGCACTTCTTTATGCTCTGCCTCAGTGAGGCTTCGAGTTAGGGTGCAAGAGCAGCAGTAGGGAGATGGAGCAGGATGAAGTGCTGTGGCTCCATTGTAGAACTACCTGCACTGGTAACAGTTTGAAATTTAACCTGTTGGGGCCACTCGAGGAGTATAGGGAGAGTTGCAGTGCAGGGAAGGTGCTTGAATAGTGGCAGCCACAGGTTCATAATTCATTCTGGCAAGTCTTGGCTTTTGAAGTTAGCAACAAAAGTGGCGCTTCCAGCTGTCAGACGTATCTGACTCCTAACTGGTTTATGGGGCAGGTTTGCTGTAGTTGCCCTGTAGGGCCAGATTAACTTTAGGTTCTTCCACCATAGTCCACAGAGCTGCACCAGAGATCAGTTTGGCTTGAAACGTAAATGTGTTGGCGTGGTTGTGGGATTCCACTCTTGTACTGGAAATGGCGAGGCTGTTTCTGTGTGGGTCCCCTGTCTCTGGTAGGGAGTGCTCAGCTGTGAACCTGCTCCTTGTCCTGGGGCATCCATTCCTGAGGGGAAAAGCACTCCTGGCCCTATGAGAATTGCTTGTTGGTTCTGCTCTTAGGAAAGCAGTGTTAATCCTTTTTGTATCACCCCCTTCTCACATTTCATCCGTTGCTGGCAATGGACACAGAAAAACTGGCGCAAGGAGTAAATCAAATCAGCCCTGGGGTACGTGATGCCTCCTGAAGCACCTAGAATACTTAGGTGGGTATTTAGAGTTCCCTTTTTATAGTTCATTAGATTAAAAGAGAACAAACACTGAACAGATTTTTTTTTTTTTTTTTCATGCTGATGCCAGTATTATGTAATCATAGGAACAGTATGTAGTTTATCAGCCTTGATGGTCTTGGGCATCTAGACCCAGGCAAAATAGTCACCTGACACTGTACATGGGGGGAGGAGGGGGAAGAGATGAGATTTGTACATGGGATAACATACATGAGCTCTACTGGGCCAGAACCAGAATTGCAAGGTGCAGGAGAGCGCTGGGATCTCCCCATTTTGGCCCTGGTTCTGTCAGGGTCATTAAACACTATGTCTAGAGCTGAGTTGTCCTCTTACAGCATAGCTTCAGTGTGCTGTCATGCTGCCTGCTACACCACTCCTGCATCATCTGAAACCCTCAGCTTCATAGAAAATCTTAGGATCCTTGCTTCCTCAGCTGTTACAAAACTCTTAAAAAAGGTTAAAAGGAGTTAGCAACGTGCTTTGGTGACTCCCAGCTGCAGCTGTGACTGGGGGAGTAGTGCCTGTTCACAGAGCTAACCTGGTGCACCATCACAGTGGTGTCTTGACTTCAGAAGGTCTCCACTAAAGGACGCTGGTTTTGCTCAGTGATGTAATATTTAGATGCTCAAACTATGGAGGGGTTTCGCAGCAGCGTCTAGTATCTTATTCCATTATCCTTATTGCCTGTGCCACTGTAACAGCTATTGTAGTCTGCTTCCCACTGATGTCTGACATGTACCACCCAGCTATCGATCCTCATAGAGTGGTAATTTACACCCAGAAGTGCACTTTATTTGCAGCTTGCACACCAGAAACAGAAAGAGACCCAGCAAATTCTTAAATCAATTGAAATAATTATACATAATACCATGTACCTAATGCAGCAGGATTAGCCAGACTTCTCCTTTCTGAGTAACATGACTACGGCCAGAGCTTTGTCTTTTCTGCAAAATCTCCCTTTTTAATACATGTGATGCTTCTTACAACGTCTTACAGAAGTGCCCAGAGCACGTTACCGGGGTCTCAGTGGCAGCTCAGCAAGAGCTCGGGAGCTGGACTGAAGTGGTAGAGACATTTACATTAAGAAGAAAAAAACGCACAAGGCCTAACATTTGTTTGTATGTGTATCTTCCTCAGTAGATTAAAGTTGCCTGTTTTGAGTTCACCAGCAATAAAAAAACCCTTGTGATTTATCTACCTTGTCCTAACTGTAGCAAGGAGAGAGTGGCCCATCGCTGCTTTTCTTTTCTAGGGGGGTGGTGGATGGTGGGATATGGACTCCAGTTACCCTGAGGTTCCAGTTTTGCCTCCCTTCTCTTACTTATCTCTTGTATGGTCCACACTAAAGGATCTCAAAGTATGTGATGAAAGACAGAGCCTGGTGTCCTGCGCACAAGAGGCAGTTTGAGTATTACTGCGATGTCTGTTCATACTCCAAAGATCTTGCCAGAGGGAAATGGCTGATTTACAGCAGGACCAGACTGCCCTTTGGTGTTATAATTGAGAGAAATGTGTACATATGTACCAGGTACTATTGCGCCTTTGGACTGAGCGCATTTTGTAATTAAAGCAGAATAACCCAATCAAGGTTTTGCTTGACTAGTCCTGTGACTATAAAAGGTAAAAAAAGACTGCAGGGCTTTAACTGCTTTGAGAATTGGGAAGCGAGCGACCAAAGACTTCCCGAGTTCAAGAGCATTGCTCTGCTGCTGACTGGTTTTCTGAAACCTGCACAGAAAGAATGGGGACTTCTTCGTTCATGGGAACTTCTGCCCTTTCTGTACTATGAATAAAACATGAGCCACCACTAAGATGTGAACCGAAACCAAATGTTTTTCTATTTTTGTTTATCCTGGGCCCTGAATACTTGCAATATACCCCGTACTCAAGGCGGAGGATTGCAGACTTGAGTTCTTTACTTCAGTTCTTCTGCCTGCAAACAGCAGCTGAACCACCTAAGAAGGAAACTACTTTCTTCCCCTTCCTTCCTGCACATCAGCCACTATCAAATCCCTCTGCAATCCATCCCCTGTTGAAGGAGGAAGTCTCTCTTCCAGTGCAGCCCTTGCTAAACCAGAAGCTATTCCCACTGTGCGTCCCCTCGCCGAGCCACCTAATGACCAGGTAGGGTCACAGAGTTGGTGAGACCTTAGGAGTGTTGTCCTTGTTTGGCAAATGGCCTCCACTTGCACCTGTCTTCCCTTACTCCCCCTGAAGTGTCTTGAGCCAGCCCCTGGGGAAGGGACCTTCCCTTCCTTCCACCTCCCACCCCAGAGAACGGAACAAGCTCTGACACTGCCCAGCGGCTTTGGTGCCCCTCAAGGTGTTAAGCTAACAGAGGTTGGTCTCCACTTGGCCAGGGGAACTTTGATTTTAAGAGCTGTATGGCTCTGGGCTTCAGGCTGATTACTAGCAAGTCATCCACAGCCATGATAGTGAATTTGTACCATGTGGAATGGCTTATTTCTTCTAGGATGGCAAGGGTTAGTCCATCCAGAGTTCGGCCACTTGGTTGACTGCTTGGTGAACAAGAGGGAACCTACAGAAGCAGGTGGTGCCTCCAGTGCCTGCTTTGCTTTTGGCTGCTGGGCAGCTAGCACAGATGCCGAAGGAAGAAGCGCTGTCTTGACAGAAGTCCCAGGGAGGGGCTGGGGATGCACTAGTTAGGTTGTGTCCAAAGGCACCACTTCTTCAAATACGAAGCTGCGCTTTCCCACCGAGATCTTTACTACCTGCAGCAATGCAAAAGTCATTTGCTTTCCCCAGAATGTATGATTGCCTGAACTTACTCTGAAGTAAAAGGAATGTTTAAAATCTCTAGTCCTTTTTTTCCTCTGGGAGATTCCTGACTTACATCATTGCGGAAAAATACATTACTTAAAGATGTGCAAGCTACTGCTCATTTAGCCAGTGTAGGTACTAAAAGCCATACAGTGCTGTGCTCCATCCTGCTAAGTTAATCATGCTGAGAAGCAGAATACTTTGGCCCACAGAGCGTGCTGCCATGTGGCCATACCACTTCAGCACCTGAATTAGTACAAACGCCTACTCAGGAATGCATTTTGCCTTATAAAATGTGCTCTTAGTTCTGTGGGTCCCAGTGGAAATGCTTAAGATGGAGAAAGACAGATCCTGTATAAGCTTCATCACTATATAGGTGATGATCTTACTTGAGAACATCTTATTTAAAGTTTCAGCTACTTCACTGAGACCAAATGTGGAAGGTGACTTGTCGCAGCCTTGGAGCAGGTCAGTAGCATCACGCAACTGCAGACATTACACGTGGTGTGCTGGGCAGCTCCAGTGTGCAGCCAGGACAAGCTTCCTCCGTACAAGGACTGGTGGCAGAGCGAGGACTGGTAGTGACATCTACATTTCCAAATCTTCAAGAGCTGGACAGGTTGGAAGCAGCTCTTGCATGTTCTCTGTGCTTGGGACTTTTTGCAGGTCTAAAGCAAACTGGCAGGTTTTTTATTCTGAGAGAAGCAGACCATTTCCTCAGCGCCTTACTCTGGAGTCTGGGCTGCTCATTCCTCCTTTTGTAGCCACTGGATTTTCTGATGTGAATGGCCTTCATTAGCTCTCAGAAAATAGCGATTTTGACGTCAGTTTGTATTTATGCTTTAGTCAATTTGGGAGCTAAAGGCCCTTAAGTATCTGGTGATGCTGTTTGTTTATGCTGTTGTGTGGCATGCTGTCCTGCTTTC